CTAGTTTTACTGACGCATACCTCGGAAGCCGGATTAGGTTTCATATGAGCGCGAGCCTTACCGGTTACTTCATCGCTTACTTTACCTATCTTATCCCACCATACAGCCAACTCCGGTATTAATTTGCTAGCTAATAACTCCGGTAATAATTTCATCCACCCTAATGGCTAATATCACAAGTTCATCATTCTTAGCTAATGCTTTTTCGAGAATGCTCTGGCAATATTCAATTAAGGCTTTTTGAATGGCTTTTTCGTTTTTCTAATTGGCCACTCTAAACTTTCAGTTATGCAACTGGACTACGGAAAGTTAGTTGCTTATGATGTTCTACCATTCATTAACCGTCGATATTTTAATTCAGATTGTTCTGTCATTTTGAATAATTTTATCCTCACTCAATTCTCACTTTGATAAAAAATAAATTAGACCTTAACTATACTATCAACAAATTATATGACTCAAGAAACAATATCCTACTTTGGAAAAGCATTTTACCTAACTCGTAGTTGCGGCTCAGCAGTTTTTCTGTTTCCATAAGCTTGCCCCATGCGTTTTCCTAGTTTAGGCTTATTTTTCTTTGCAATATTGTACTTCAAATTATTGCTATAACGCCTAAGGATCAAAAAACGATATCAGTTCTAGCCAAGGATTCTGGTGCAGTTGTACATAATTTTGCCCTAACGCAATGAAGTTCTGCTTCCTTCTAGATAACAAGTCTGTTAATTCGTTAATAAGTAGTATACCTGATTCTTTCAACTTACTATGAATATCTTCCGTGCCTACACGTTTACATTAAACGATTGCGTAAATATTATATTTATACTTTAAAAGTTGATTAGGTGTTCGTGCCTTAAAATTATTACTTCGTTGTCCAATAAAGTTTTTGACGGCATCGTACCAAATAACAATGTCGGTTCGGTCCGACAAAGTAATCAAGTTGATACTGACAAGTTTTACGGACGTTGACTGCGCTTGGATTGAAACTCAACCCTGGAATGGCTCTGAACGATTGCGATACGCTTTTGTGAAATGGGGAAAAAATTCAAAGCGTGGTGCAGCAAGCTGGCAGCTAGTATGAACATTATTAAGTTAAAACCAAGTTTTAAGGGGAAGGAATCAAGCAAACCGCGAACTGAACACCGGCAACACCCTGAGCTAATAAGGTTGTAGCAAAAAGTAAGACGACTTGCTTGATAAAACGCTACGAGGCTCTCTTATGGCTATTTTCATTTAATGAAATTGTTTCGTTTGCTACACCAGGTTTCAAGAAAAATCACTGCGTTTTTCTGAAAATGTTCCCTAAAATTTTTCCGAAAGTTTTTTACGTTTTCATCCATCGCTTCCAATAGTAACCTGATGCGTTTGCGACGTTTTGAGTTTTTACCCAATTTTTGCTCGAAAGTTCCAAATTTGGTCGAAAAGACTAGAATCAGTCGTTTAAACTAATTTATTATGAAACTAGGCGCTTTCCTGACAATTTTGCAAAAATAGAAGTTATGCAAAAAAATCCATATTTTTTAAGAGTAATGAACGTAGTTCTTAATGAACGGCTCTTAAGTCTTGCTGACATTTTTTTTCAGGAGAAGTCTTAAATTATTGATGAACTTTAGCTTAATGCACTTTTTTTGAGTTCAAAATCTCCAAATACGAACGTGCAAATGGTGCGAAAAAACGTGAGCGATTTTATGTTTTGAAAGTGGAATTTATTTTCAAGATTTCCAAATGGAATAGGAACTTTACTTATTGATCCAGTTTTCTCAAATTGGGTTCATGTTATCCAAAAAGCTCTAATCATTAATTCTTCTCGAAATTCAAAAAGCCTAAAGGGCATCTATTTTTTTTCTTTGAAGTTCAATAGTTGAGATTTTTTCAAGAAAGTCAGTATTTTTTAGTGTTCATTACTCTTTTCCAATCTTCGATTGGCTATGTTTTTTTTCAAAAATTTTTTTTTCGATACGGATGGTGTTGAGTTTACTTAAACGTTGTTAGGGTAACGTAATTAAGGTTTATGCGCCGGTTTTTTTTCAAAAGAACCACAAAGTTTTCTACTCAGGTTTTGGTATCGAGAAAAAATGGCGGTTACGGTTTTGCCATCACAAAATCTCGTATGAAAATTTATAGCATCATATCATCAATTAGCTCAAATGGACTAAGTTTTGTTTTTAGTCTTACAAGTTTTGAAGACTCGCTCACCGTTCTGTAGATTGGGAAAAAACACGAAAAATTTTGGGTGTCGAGAAAACTTCACCAACCCGATACCTGTAAGAAGGTCTCTAAAAACTCACCATCTACGCGATACCTGAAGGCCTCTACAAACACTCAAACACAACTGCTCGGAGCTTTCGACGCCGCTGAAATAACTGCTCGGAACTTTTGACGCCTCCCACACTTACGAGATATCTGATCGGAACTATCGACGCCTCTGGCACCCTTTTGAGACAACTGTTAGGATTTTTCAACACCTCTGGCAGACTTCTGAGATATCTGATCGAAATTTTTGACGCCTCTGACACTTTTGAGATACCTGTTCGGATTTTTCGGCGCCTTTGGCTTACTTCTGAGATATCTGATCGGAACTTTCGACACCTTTGGCACAGTACTGAGATATTTGATCGAAACTTTCGACTTTTCTGGCACACTTCTGAGATATCTGCTTGAAACTTTCGGCGACTCTGGTACACTTTTGAGACACTTTATGGTAACTTTCGAGGCCTTTGGCACACTTCTGAGATATCTGATTGGAATTTTCGACGCCTTTGGCTTACTTGTGGGATGTCTGATCGGAACTTTTGACGCCTTTGGCACACTTCTGAGATATCCGATCGGAACTTCCGACGCCTTTGTCACACTTCTGAGATATCTGATCGGAACTTGCGACGCCTCTGACACTTTTGAGACACCTGTTCGGGTTTTTCAACACCTCTGGCAGACTTCTGAGATATCTGATCGAATTTTTCGACGCCTCTGACACTTTTGAGATACCTGTTCGGATTTTTCGGCGCCTTTGGCTTACTTCTGAGATATCTGATCGGAACTGTCGACACCTTTGGCACAGTACTGAGATATTCGATCGAAACTTTCGACTCTTCTGGCACACTTCTGAGATATCTGCTTGAAACTTTCGGCGACTCTGGTACACTTTTGAGACACTTTATGGTAACTTTCGACGCCTTTCGCACACTTCTGAGATATCTGATTGGAATTTTCGACGCCTTTGGCTTACTTCTGGGATGTCTGATTGGAACTTTCGACGCCTTTGGCACACTTCTGGGATGTATGATTGGAACTTTTGAAGCCTTTGGCACACCTCTGAGGTATCCGATCGGAACTTCCGACGCCTTTGTCACACTTCTGAGATATCTGATCGGAACTTGCGACGCCTCTGACTTTTGAGACACCTGTTCGGATTTTTCAACACCTCTGGCAGACTTCTGAGATATCTGATCGAAATTTTCGACGCCTCTGACACTTTTGAGATACCTGTTCGGATTTTTCGGCGCCTTTGGCTTACTTCTGAGATATCTGATCGGAACTTTCGACACCTTTGGCACAGTACTGAGATATTCGATCGAAACTTTCGACTCTTCTGGCACACTTCTGAGATATCTGCTTGAAACTTTCGGCGACTCTGGTACACTTTTGAGACACTTTATGGTAACTTTCGACGCCTTTCGCACACTTCTGAGATATCTGATTGGAATTTTCGACGCCTTTGGCTTACTTCTGGGATGTCTGATTGGAACTTTTGACGCCTTTGGCACACTTCTGGGAGGTATGATTGGAACTTTTGAAGCCTTTGGCACACCTCTGAGGTATCCGATCGGAACTTCCGACGCCTTTGTCACACTTCTGAGATATCTGATCGGAACTTGCGACGCTCGCGGGTCGTATCGGATTGTTCGTCCAGGTCGGCGGACCAAAATGTGATGAACTCTCGTATCCTGTAAGACTTGGCTAAAGAAAATTTGATTCAACATCTGTAAATTATCGGGAATTTCAAACAGATTAACTGGAAATAAATAACATCTGAAAAAGTAAGGCAAACATTTTTCGGTCAACATGAATTCAAAATTGTTCTCAACCATCTCAGAAATCTGTAAACATTTTTGATGGCGAAGTGACCTTAATCGGACAAACTAGTAATTTCAAGGCCTTTTGTCTGTTTTAACTCTCGCGCCATATGACTTGTCATTACTTTAAGTGCAATGATAAAAAGCTCAATTTCAAAGATTTTCCAACTCAATGTATCTAATTATGTATTTTCTTGAAATGCATAACTTATACATAATTTGGCGACCCTTTTCCATTTCCCACCCCCCACCTTTCAAAATATCAAGTTTTAAGTTTGTTTTACGTACTATTACGGCTAAATGCGTGATGTTACGATGTAAAGTCTGAAGAACAAATCTGGTCACAGTTGTCGTTTTGTTCGACACGCCAAGTTCCATAGCATTATGACAACGTTAAATAAGCCTTTCAAAATTCAATTTGAAAGGGGCGAACTGTAAAAAAGCCAGTTTGGCTCTATGCTTTCTAATTTATTACCAGCAAAATGTTGTCTTTTGGTGTGTGGTGCTACTTTTGCTGCATCGAACTGGCAAGTTATTAGCATATGTAGTGATTGGTGGCTACTTTTGGTGGTTTTTAAGCATCCGTGACTGAGTGGTTAGTGCGTGAGACTCAAATTTGCTAGGTCACAGATTCGAATGCGGTACGTAGCCGAGTTTTTCCTAATTCGAGGCTTATTTCTACTTTTTCTTATTTCACTTGATATAGCTGCTTTTTGGTCGCGTTCTCGCAAGTGTTTGAGAAGCCAGAAGCGCATCTTCGTCACTGTGTTAAAAATTGCGTTGGTCGGAACTGTATGTGCTAGTTACACAGGAACCGGCATTTACTGTTTCAATTACCGTTTTTTCCAAATTAATGAAAGTGCTCATTAATTACAAGTTTAATTTAGAGATACAATTATTGAATATGGGGAGCATTACTTTTTGTTACAGAGAAGAAGGAAAAAGAGAAGAAAGAGAAAGGGAAGAAAAACAAAAAGGATGAGCAGGAGGTTGTGGAAGTGCTGCAGTTCTCAAATGACGAAGACAGCGAAGAGGAGGAGGAAGATGACGATACTACTGAAGACAAAAAAGGCAAGAAAAAAGATAAATCGAAAGAGAAAGACAAAACCAAGGACAAGTCGAAAGATAAGGATAAAAAGAAGGACAAGGACAAGAAGCCGAAAAAGAAAGAGAACGATGAAGACGAGGAAGAAGACGAAGAAGATGGAAGCGAAGATGAAAACGAGAAAGAGAAGTCATCGAAAAAGGATAAAGAAAAACCGAAGTCAAAAGATAAAGAGAAAGACAAGAAAGCGAAGGATAAGGATAAAGACAAGGGCAAGAAGAAAGATAAGGACAAAGAGAAGGAAAAAGATGGTAAAAAATAACATATTACCGTAACACTTTTTATTTTTTAAATAGTTCAAATCATCTGGCATTCGATAGTGAATCTCTAGATCAATTGTACTTTTGGCAAAAATATGTTATCATGGGATCAATTAGTTTTCCACCGGGTATAGTATCAATTAGTTTTCTACCGAGTATCTATCTAGAGTTAAGGCGAAAAGAAGTTATGACCATATAAGACTTCGAATTTTTTGGAAAAACGAGCGACCTGTTGATGGAAGTGGTTTTTCAGGTAAAAAGAGTAAAGATAAAGACAAGAAAAAAGACGGAAAGAAGAAGGACTCGAATGCTGATGATGAGGTTGAAGAGGTCCAGTCGGAAATTGAAGACGAGGAGGAAAGTCTGAACGAAGAGATCTCAGAAGACGAGAAAGAAAAAGGCGCGAAGGACAAGGATAAAGATAAATCAAAGGAGAAAGAAAAGGACAAAAAAGGCAAGACGAAAGAAAACAAAGAAGAATCGTCAAAAGATAAAAAGGAGAAAGCGAAAGGAAAGGACGACGAATCCCCAGAAGAAAGTAAGAATGAACAGATCTGTTTTTGTTTGAAATTCATAGTCAACAAGACTGCTCGTATCAGGGCGAAGCCCTGAATGTTCTGACTGCCTTTATAAGGTTTTCGAAGCAGTAATAACATTAAAAAATTAAATGAAATGAAACAAAATGAATTTTTTTCTTCTAAAATTTGAAAATTTTTATGAAAATCATCCCCCCACACGCCATATAAAGTACAAAAGGATAGATTTCGCTCCTTGTAACAAATCAAGTATGGCCAATAAGCTTCTTTCAACCAATTTGGAACGATTTCTAAGACGGATTAACTCTCCGCTTACGCGTTAATAGCGCGAAATATATCGCGCGTTAATTGTCCCAAATGGCCAAAATTACAATCTTTAAACCCCCGTAACTTGACAAAAAATGATCACAGGTGAATTATCTTTTCAAATTTGAGCTCAGGACAACAATAGCTTTCGAATGATATAAAAAAATTACGTCAAAAATGGCTAGTTAAAAAGTCGAAATTTCTCTGAAGAAAAAAAACCCACTCCGAGCACAAATATTCAGTTACTTTCGAATCGAAAGTCGGAACAATAACTAGCTGGGGACTGGCGTTGAGCATGCGTGCATTGCTTAAGTTAATAGCTTAAGTTGCTATAGTGTTTAATTGGAAGAGACTCAATCTAACAATTTCAAAATGATTTCATTTAATCTCTTTCGTAATCCTTATTGTGGTCATGCCAATCGATACACATGCTTGTTGATTTCTCCCAACTAGCTTGCCGGTAGTCGCCTTCAGTTTGCGTGAAAAAAAAAGTAATCGATTAAAATTAATAATTTTAGGTGATTTTTAAAAGGGAGTGGATCTACACTTTTTGCGATGGGTTGTTGTATTTACACTAGCGTTCAGCTTAGTGTATTATTACGAACCTTTTTTTCTAATCTAACTCGCAAATAAAGGTGTTCACTTATTGGGAACTCTCACTGTAGCATTGGAAATTGCATAGCATTTGTTCTCTGCTTTATTTGTGGCTAGTGTTCTGTTGTTTTGTATCTATTATTAGTCTGTGACTGAGTGGTTAGTGTGTGAGACTCTCAATCTCTAGGTCGCAGGTCCGAATCTCAGACGTACCCGAGTTTTTACTACTTCCAGGTGTATTTCGAATTTTTCTTATTGCAATAGAGCTGACTTTTTCTCGTGTTCCCGCTAGTGTTTGCAAAGCGAAACTTCGCCCTTGTGTTACTTTTCCGATCAGCGTAGTGTATTAGTATGAACCCTCTTTTTTCTAACCTAACTCGAAAATAAAAGTGTTCATTGAAAGTGTAAAGCGTTCACTTATTTAGTGGTACTTTTGCTATAATTACAATGTGGCATTGGAAATTTGATACCATCTGTTCTCTGCTTTATTTGTGGCTAGAATTTGTGATTGATTAAGCTTGCGTGGCTGAGTGGTTAGTACGGAGAATCATATCCGCAACCTAGCCAAGTTTCTACTAATTGGAGGCCTTTTTCTAGTTTTTCTTTTAGCACTTCATAGAGCTGCTTTCTGTCGTATTCTCGATAGTGGAGGCTAATATTGAGACAAAAGCCCAAAAAGCCAATTTTGAAATTTGTTGCGTGCTCTTGGCCCTCAAATTTAGTTGATCTCGGCACTGACGGCAGTTTTAGAAAGACTTAAGACCATTCAGCCAAAAGGGATAGATGCTTAAAGCACTGCCAAATAGACCTGAAAATTCGTGGGAACAGGGGGAGGAGTGGTTCCGAGCATATATTTTGCTCTTGTTTTGAGAATTGAGGGATTGTTTTTGGTTGAAAAACTGTAAAAGGGGAATAAGAAATCTCGCAATCTCAAAATATGAGCGTTTCTTTTCTCTATTGACTAAGATTTCTGTTTTAATTTCATTTTGTTTTCAGACGAAAAACCGAAGAAACCTAAGAAGAGAGTCACAATCAAAGACGACAAATCTTCAATCGAAGACACAATCAACGATGAACACTCGAAGAAAAGAGTGAGTTTGTTTTTTCTCGTGATTTTGATACTGTTTTTCTGTTCAATCTCGTTATTTTATATCACAATGGTTACATAATTTGAAATAATTTAATGAAATTGAAAAATGAAATTTTGCTTTTGCTGTTTGACGAAAAATTCTGATGAAAGCAAATAAGTGTTTAATAGTTCCAGAGAGCAGTGGGGCTCAGTATAGTTGACGCATTTGTTTAGTTTCAGCTGCAAGTTAAATCACGCATGATTGCTGTTTTCAGGGAATTTTGGGACTCCTCGGAAAATAAGTAAAAGCACTTTCTTTATCATCATGCTAACCAACATTGAACAGCTTGCGCGATCATCAATCTTAAATGTTTGGCCACAACACAATTATCTCCGATTTTTTTTCCAAGTATAGTGTGAGGGAATAATAACACCTTCTTAAAAAATTGTAGTTTTCAAGCTCTAATTTTTTACCAGCTCGCCTTTCCAACTTAGTTACAGCTTAGTTACAATTCACTAAGTATCTGAAGATCTTTATATGACGCTGTCAATAGTTTTTTTGGTGTTTTAATCAAAATGAAAATCAAGAAAAAAACCTTAGAACGCGTTGTAAAATTTGGTGCGGATTATTCTCGAAAAACATCGGACCTCTTTCCTGCAAAATTTTTTTATGATTTGTTGACAAACATGCTACCTAGAAACTTGAGTTTTAAGCTGCAGTTTTTGAAGATCGTGAAATCTAGAAATTTCTTTAAGTTTCTCTTGATTCGCTTTCATTTTGATCTATATGTTCTTAATAGTGTAGGCGAATGACCGGCATCCTTGAATTTTTCTATTTGTTTGATAAATCTTGTTCTCATTATGACTTGAATTGCAAAGAATGATTCACAGTTTTTGGTTTTGCATGTGGTACGAAGCACAGCTTCGCCCTGTGTTCAAATACTGTATCTCCAAAAAACTAGTCTAAAATTTTGCTATTCAGGCTCAAATAGAGTGAAGGATACAACTTAGTCTCTAGGTTTACAGGGCGATATATCTGTTTTTTATTATTATTCATAAGTTTTATATGAATGGTAATCTATTTTATAAGTGTAGTACAATCTGCAGGCCAATAATTTTTCATCGAAAAAAAAAACATTTGTTTTTACGTGTCAATGAACATTGCGAACACACTTCTGTAGATCCGGTTGTTTTTTTTTAGTTCTTTTGTTTCAGGAAAAAGCTTAAAATGTTTTCAATCCAATTTTTTTACGGTATGATTTTTTATTTATTTTTTGTTCAATTCAGTTCATTTGCTAAATGAAGTGCGAATGGTGCACAAAAAATTTCTTATTTCGATTTTATTTTTCAGGCTGTCTAACGTTATAATAAGTTCAACAAGTGCTCCAGCTTTCTCGTTTTAGGTTATTTCCTAATGAAAAACATGTGTATCAAAAATTTTTCTTGAAATTTAAAGAATTGATTTTAGAGTAATGAACGCAGCGAAGACTTATATAGGTCTTCGAGGGTATATATTATTTAAATATATATATTATTTAAATATGCGAAAATTGAAGTTTTTTCACAAAACAAGTCAGTTTTTTTCGGTTTCCTTGCGTTCATTAATTTTTTCCAACTTTCAGTTGGCTGTTTCTTTTGTTTTCAACCGTATTAGCTGCTACAAAGTCTGTTTGCGGAACGGACGTTCTTTAATAGTTGCACAGCAACTGGTTGCCTTTTTTCTTGGCCTCTATACTTCTCGTTTTCTTGAAGTTCTCGTTTTCTTTGTAGCAGCTCAATTCATAGTTGATAACACGAAATTAAAGGGATGCAAAGTTTATCATACCTTAACAGTTGACCAATTCTTCATCTGAACTTCAAGTCCTGCAAAAATGCAGGCAACCAATAAATGCTTGGATAACATTTGGCTTAAAATCAAAATTGAACTCTGCGCAATATGCTTTTGAAAGTGACCAAGTTTTGCTCTTCATCCTTTATTTCATTTACTGTCATGTTTTGTTTTCCGGTCCTATCTTGTGTTTCATCGCTTCTTTATTACTTGCTTGCAACTTAAATGATTGGAAATTGCTTGATGAGGCGAACAAACAGGTAATTCTGGATTTTTGTTTAGAGAGAAAGAAGACGCGATTTCATCTGGTATCATCAGTAATCTAGAACTTCGGCTTAGCGTGAGTTCTTGCTGCGACACTTCATATAAAGTGTCTGAAATGCTAAAACAGTGCTAAAAACTATCTGTCTATCTTTTGCTGTGTATTTCAAATTGAATTTCTATAATTTGAATTTTACTGCAGACCCTGTTAATGTACATAAATCAAATTGTAAGTATGTATAGCTGTTATCAAATTTCTTTTATATAATAAATTTCTCAGAACGATTGTTTTAAGGCATTACGGATCTCTCAGTGGAGTATAAACTCTTCATTACTCTTTTTTTCTCGTAAAAAATTTTAAAAATATCTTTATCTCTTGAAACCTCAATAACTGCCAGGCCTCTTTCCACTTGGCCTAGTGGTAAAACTGTTGCCTTGGGATCCTAAATCGTAGAGTTTTAGCTGGACTTTTTGAAAAGTCGATGAACGTAGTTCAGACTCTTATATGGTCGCAATCATTTTTTTTTTAGTAAAAGTCTCTATCGAACACTGAAAAGTTTAAGAAAAAAGTGATCGAATTCTAGTTTTGATAATGGAATTTGATTGTCGGTTTTCCCACCGAATTTTAAAAATTTACGTTTGATCCACTTTGTTTTTTTTAGATTTTTTTTCAGGAAAAGCTAAAAAATGTTTTCAATCCAATTTTTTTTACGATATGATTGTTGATTTCTTTTTTGTTCAATTCTTAAACACTATTCTTAAATTCTTTAAGAAATTCTTAAACACTATTCTTTAAGAAATCCACTATTCTTAAATTGGCTTCGATTTTATCGAAAAAAGGGCCAACCAAAATGCTCTAAAATTTTAAAACGGTTGAGGGGCAGCTGTTTTTTTTTTGACTTTCGAAAGTTGATATGAACAGAAATAAGATTTTTTCTTCAGCTTCACAACCTGATAATTCAAATTTTTTAAGGACAAAAGCTTTCTCGACTTTTTTAGATTCTGACATTTGAGATAAAAATATTTCGACATGCAATAATTTTTGTATCCGTTAGCTTACGATGCTAATTTGACGTTGAATTGTCAGTGCTGCGAAGCTTCGATTCGCCTCTGTGTAATGTTCTTTAAGTCGTGGTGTCGGTGCATTAAGTAAGGTGCAGTTTTGAATGAAAAAAAAGTTCCGTTATACAAATGAGCAAAACGTGAAAAAGCACGAAATTGTTTTCTTTTATTTTTGTCCGAATATTTTTTGACAGGAAAAGTCTTGAGTTTCGTTCACGCTCTGTTTTAATTTTTTTTTGGTTAGGATTATGAAATAATTCAGTGCGGTATTAAATTACAATTAAATGCAAAATTCGAGCTATTGTATGGGTATGTTAAGCATGTCCATTATTAATATTAGCATTCGATAAAGCGGTAGATTTTGCCGAAACTAACGTACATTTTTTTCTCCACTGTGGAAGACTGCCAAACAGAACATGAGTCATGAGCCTCTATTTCGATCATAATTTCGAAATTTTTTAATGAAAAAAAAATCCGTTATACAAATGAGCAAAACGTGAAAAAGCACGAAATTGTTTTCACTGATTTTTTTCCGAATATTTTTTGACAGGAAAAGTCTTAAATTTCGTTCCTGCTCTGTTTATATTTTTTTTGGTTAGGATTATGAAATAATTCAGTGCGGTATTAAATTACAATTAAATGCAAAATTCGAGCTATTGTATGGGTATGTTAAGCATGTCCATTATTAATATTAGCATTCGATAAAGCGGTAGATTTTGCCGAAACTAACGTACATTTTTTTCTCCACTGTGGAAGACTGCCAAACAGAACATGAGTCATGAGCCTCTATTTCGATCATAATTTCGAAATTTTTTAATGAAAAAAAAATCCGTTATACAAATGAGCAAAACGTGAAAAAGCACGAAATTGTTTTCACTGATTTTTTTCCGAATATTTTTTGACAGGAAAAGTCTTAAATTTCGTTCCTGCTCTGTTTATATTTTTTTTGGTTAGGATTATGAAATAATTCAGTGCGGTATTAAATTACAATTAAATGCAAAATTCGAGCTATTGTATGGGTATGTTAAGCATGTCAAATATTAAAATTAGTATTCGATAAAGCGGTAGATTTTGCCGAAACTAGCGTACATTTTTTTCTACACTGTGGAAGACTGCCAAACAGAACATGAGTCATGAGATTCTATTTAGATCATAATTTCGAAATTTTTAAACCCTAGAATTTATGCCAGTTCTAAAATTACAGTTTGCTTTACTTTTGAAAATCATTCGCTGAAAGAAATACAAATTGGGGTCTCCAACATCGAAAAGGAAAATGTTTCACTTTTCTCAAAAACTTTAACTTTTCTCAGAAACTACGTTGCCAAGTGTTTTTAAAAAGTGGTACTAGTGGTAAGTGGTACGAATAGAAAGTGATACTTATGGCAATTATGGAAAATGGTACTAACGGAAAAAAAACGTTAGATTTTCCATTGAAGTATTGTGTCTAAATACTCCCTTTGTCTCTTTTTGCTTTACCCCTTCGTCTACATCCTACCGAATAATCTGCGGGGAAATATTAAACCCATTTTCTTGATTTTTGATTTTTTGACAACTACTTCCCAAATCTGAAATTTTGTTTTCAATGAGCATAACAAATTTAAAAAGCTCCCCTGCTAAGCTCATTTTACACATTAAAATTTATGCTCTTGGAACAGTCACTTCTTTGATTTTTTAATTCTTTTTGACTTTTAGCAAAACAGTTTGTGGGTTCAATGGAGATAACTATCCTGCCAAATCTGATATCATAGGTTCAATCAAAGCAACAGGTTTGATTACACCCAATTTCCTTTAGAAAAAAAAATTGGCCTTCAAGGAGTCAAAATTTTGAAACTTGACCGTTTTTTGGAAACATTTTGACTTTACTCGAACAATACCGTGCCAATTTTCAGGTTAATTATTCAATCAGAAACCCGGCTCTTGGGTTCTTCTCTACTTTCGCGGCCACGGCCTTCTTTTTGCAGAAAAAAAATTATAGTTTTCTGGAACTCAGGTTTTTGAACTTTTAACCGTTTTTAAGAAACGTTGAGTTTTCTAAATAATTGCCGTATAAACTCTGAAATAGAGTCGAAGCGAAATAACTGTTTGCAGAATTTCTTTCACAGAAGCGGCTACTTCTCTGTTCATGGGTTCAAATTTGAAAGTCCTGCTATATATTTCAGTGTAATGTTTCAAACTACTGCGAATTACATTGTTTGTACGTGACAACTATCAATGATCTTCTTAAAAGTTATAAGGTTTTTAGGAATCATGAACGTTTTGAAAACTCTTATGTAGATCTTGGTAATTTTTTTGTTTAATTTTCTGGAGAAAACTTGAAATTTGTTTAGGCTCAAAGTTACTTTTCGTGGTTTGATTTTTTTTAAGTTCATTTCATTTTTTCAAAAAAAAGAAGGCGAACTCCACTATCAAACAGAGAAAGGTCGCGAAAAACGTAATTGTTTTCTTACTTCGAAAATGAAAATTAATTATCAAATTTTCCAGAGAAAAAAAATTATTTAGGATCCAGCTTTTTAAAAAAAGAGAACATAAAATGTTCACGAAATTCCAAGAACTTCAATGTCAAAAATTGTTTAATTTCAAAATTCGAAAAATGAAGCTTTTCAAAAAAACAAATCAGTATTTCTTCTGTTTCCGTGCGCTCATGAAGTTTTCCATTTGTCTCTCGGCTATGATTTATCCTTTTTGTTTTTTTTGTTAAGTTGAATGACTAGTGTTAAAAAGTTTCCACTTGTTAGATTTGTTAGTTTAGGTTACTGATTGAAATCATCCAGACAAAACAAATAGAGAAAAAACTTAAACGTTTTTTTTTCTTTGAACTGGGCTGAATTTAGAAAAAAATGTTTGGGACAAGTTTTGCATACTGAAAAACCATATTTATCGAATTTTTGATCTTTTTCATTTTTATTTTTGCGTTTTGTAGTTTCCTTTTGTTTTTGCCAAAAAGTTTTTGGCGTTTTTAATTCATTATCTTAATATTTCGTCGAGTTTTGGTTCAACAAACTTTGGTCTGAGATGGAAACATGGTAAATTTGCACATGTATGGGCAAAAATTGTTGATTAATTTGGTAAAATTGCTATCTGAAGGTTCAAATAGCCCTGCGTTTTGAAGTAAGTTTTGATTCATAAAGCTACGCAGGTTTGCTTCACCTGCGTAGCTTTATGAATCTACAAAATTCCTGAAAAATGAGCAGATTTTTTGATTTTTGTGCGCCTCAAAACCTCTATAAAAAAGCTGCTTGCTGATTTTTTTATAAAGGTTTGGCTATTCATTTTGCTACAGTCAGTTGTTATTTTTATTCCTATTATATCATCGGTTGATGCAATTTTCTCGTTTGTTCATTTAATTTGACCGAGAAATTACCCTTTCAAAAAACCTTTCAAAAAACGGAAATGTATTGTATTTAAATAAATATGAGCTCTAAACTAACAATTTTATGCAACAATTTTTTTTATATTTTCTACAGTATACAATTGATTCCATCTAGATGACAAATCATTTATTATTGTTCAGGCACTCAAAAAATGTTAGCAGTACTTCTTCTCTTCTATGTTTTAGTAATATTTGTGTCAGTGTTAAATTCTTGGGTGATTCAATCAACAATTTTTTAAATGACAGTTTTTTCTCCTGTTTTTTTAACTAAATGTCTGAGTAACATTTTAATTTAGTTGTAATCAACGATGCGTGAAATACTGGGTGGGATTGTTGATACTTTGAGGCCCTCTTAGATCCACTGACACCCTAAGACATTCCTGCTAATCCCTTTTAATTTGTGGAAAATTAAGACCAAATTATTGAAAAATGTCAATTTTGCTGAACTGAATTTGTCTAAGCAGGCATGAAAACTGATCTTGCCCGTCCTAATTCTGTAATTGTTACAACTTGGCGTCAAAAAGTTCAATTTCTTTTTGCTTTATCGAATGAAAAAACCGGAATGAGAAAGTATATTTCAGATTTCAGCTCTTGAAATTTATTGAAATTTTGCTATCAAGACCAACAGAACAAAGTTTGGCTAAAGGAAGGCGTCAAAATAGCAGATTTATTTAAAAACAGTATAAATTTTGATTGTCGGTTCCGTTAAGAAACATTTACGTATTTCAAACAGAACGATCAAATCAAATTTTTTTATCACTCTTCCGTTTTTATTGGTGATCAAGATAAAATAAAAATTTGCAAAAATTTAAACAAAAATGGATGATTGCAAATTATCTGTTTGC